TCAAGAAGAAGAAGAAGAACACATCACTCATTCATTTGCACACATTTATTTTAAATAATATAGTGCAAAAATATGAATTGCAAACAAATGAATTATAAACTCAAATAATCAGTGTTACCATACTAAAATATTTTACAAACTAAAACAAAAAACAAATATATAAAGAAATATTATACCTTAAATACCGGAAACATAATCGTTGATAAGCAATAAAAAATATATAAAAAATTTAAGCGGCCTGAAGGCCGCCAATGTAAAAATGACTTATACGGGAGAAAAGAAATGTATAAACCCGGTGTTGGATCGAATTCTGCCGTTACAACAACAACGATCAGGGTTATTTTTTTATAGGTTGTTGATTCTCATATTTGGGGTATAATCTGTTCACTTTATTTCATTTAGTTATTTTACAGATGATGTCGATAAGGTAACACTGATTATTTGACAGTTTGTAATTCATTTGTTATTCTTAAGTAATCATAATTCAACAATAATTTAAATGTATATTTAAAGCTATTTTTGCACTATATAACATAAAATAAATGTGCTCAAATGAATTAGTGAAGTGCTAGTGGATATAAAAGTAAAAATATATAAGTGCAAAATTATTTTTATATATCGAAAATAAGAAATAAAAATATTACAAATTTTCAACTTTAAACGCGAATATCTCGAAAACTATAAGCTTCCTGCGATCCTTGATCAGGATAATCTCTTCTATCCGACCATATCCTTTTTATTCTTGAGATCCGGGGACGATGTACTAAATTCTTCCCACCATCTTGAACGCACCCATTATTTGAAAGAAGAAATGAATTTGAAATCTTGTAGCATCCTTTTACATTTTAACTGACTAATTACATAGCCATCCATTTGGTTGACTCTATAATAATGAAATCGGTTAATGGAATCGAAGTTATTTGTGCGCCAGTAAACAGCTATATCCGATCTCATTTCTATTGTTGTTGTTGTAACGGCAGAATTCTGCCGAGTTGACAGTCCTTGTCCGGATAAAAATCCGGTTCCGTTCCGGTTTTCGTAGACCCGACTGTCGTGGGAACGGCCGATCTCATTTCTCATAAAGGGTGATTAATTTCGAGATTACTACTTTGTAAAGAAAAAACAGAATCTTCCAATTTATTGGGGAATGTTTATTATCACTCCAAAGAACATTATTTGGCATTTATATTTTGAAGATTATCTCTTTCAAATGTTTGCCGCTGTTACGTCACTACAAAACATGAAATTATCTGCTCCCCGAAGTGTTTTCTCAATAAATTCATTGATTGATGCGATATATGGGAAGTGGCGCCGTCTTGTTGAAAGTAAATGTCGCCAAGATCTTGGGCCAAGTTGACAGTCCTTGGCCGGATAAAAATCCGGGTCCGTTCCGGTATTGTTGACCCGACTGTCGTGGGAACGGCGATAGAGGTCGCCATTGACGGTTGCGTTCTCAGCGACATCAGTTTTAAAGAAATATGAACCGATTATTTCACCGGCCTACAATCAACACCAAACTGTTTTTTTATCTAATGAAATTGAATCTAATGCCTAAACTTATTTTGTTTACATACCTATTGAGCTAGAAATGGGCCTCATCACTGAACAAAATTTTGCTCGAAAACATCGGAAGTGATGTCACTTGAGAAGGTCGATAGTCTTCAGTTCTTGGAAAAATGAAAAACGCGAACGGCGCTTAACACATTCGCGTAAATTGCGGGAATTCCCGTCATTCATGTTTCCTTCAATAAAACAATTGCGGGAATTCCCGCGCTATTTGAATAGGACTTTTCAACCGTCAAAAATGGGTCACTTCTTATCACTGCACATGTTTAGTGTTGGTAAAGTCTTGAACTA